CTTTTCATTTTAACATATGTTTACCTTCATTTCTGTATAAATGGCAAAAATACTAAATCCCAATACTTAGACTTACAATACTCTTTTATTGGCGTTTATTAAGTGATATATTTATCCATTTGTCTCACTTAGTCTAACCACAACGTATAATTTTATAATTCAAACAGCTGGAACGGCTTTCCTGACAGAAATGCCAATTAGAAAATACCGTATATAGTAACAAAACGTTTATTTAAGCTTATTAACTACCTACTTTTCATTGCAACGTATTTCAATTTCATTTCTGCACGAATTGCAAAACTTCGGCAAAACTACTAAATCCTAATGCTTAAATTTACAATATTTTTATTAGTGCCTATTAAATAATATATTTGCCTATAAAATACACTTCAAATAGTACACATCGCACGCTCCGAACAGCTGGAGAAGCCAATCAAATTCAAATATTCCTTACTACGCTTTTATTACGGTGCACTAAACATGTTTCCCCGTTTCTTTCAATCGAGACGTATTTCCTCGTTGAGTGTTAATTAGATAATACTGTAAATAGTAACAAAACGTTTATTTAAGCTTATTAACTAGTTTTCATTGCAACGTATTTGTTCAACTTGATTTCTGCACGAATGGCAAAACTAATAAATCCAAATACTTAAATTAACAATACTTTTACTAACGCTTACTAAATGATATATTTGTTAATAAAATATACTGCAAATCGTACTATACTCCGTATTTGTCTCATTTAATTCACCCGTAACATAAAATGTTCGAACAAACAAACATCGAATAACTGGAGAAGCCGTTCAAATTGAAATATTTCCTACTACGTTATGATTACGGCACCCCAGATACGTTTTCCCCAGTTTAATTCAACCGCGACGTATTTTCTCGCAGATTTATCCCGCGTTACGATCTTCACCGCGATTTTTACAACCTACTAAATTCGAGAGTCACGCGTCGGAGCGTTTTTTCAACGGCCCATTGTGCGATCCTGCGTCTAGCCGCGGCTAGTTGTTAGAGGCTATTGTCTTCTATTGTGAACGACCGCAACTCCCTGCATACCCTGAATAAGAAGATAATTACACGTTTGCCGTTCGGTCCGATGATTTTCGTACGGCGCATTTTTCACAGAGGCCGCCTTCATAGCGACAAACGGCAAAGTTTCTTATTATTTATGTATTCGATACATTTCTTAATAGATGTTAAGGTTACGTCGGGTTAGGTTTACGTTTTTCTAAACATTATATCTAGAAAAAACTCAACACAACGTAACCTAGCCTCCGTTATACAGGGCTTCTCGAATTGTATGTATCCAGGAAATTTCCGGACACCCTGTAGAAACGCAGAAATAATGACACCTTGCCAAATAAAGTTGCTTTCGTTCAAAACAAAATTTGCATTTCAAAAAGTGAAAAACAAAAATATTTATTTTCGAGTAGCACGTCATAATTTTTTAGGAATATAGTATATCTGGCATAGCTCATATCTGCGCCACTGGTTTCAGTTGAAACTTAAATCTTTTTATGTTGAAAGAAATTTCAATCACGTGTTGTACACACAAAATTTCTTCTCGATATTTTCATTTGTTTCAAAGATATTTAAAGTTATAGGTTTCAAATAAAATAAAAACGATGGAGTTTCGCAAACAAACTGATATACCAAAGTGCCATTATTTTTACTTTTCTATGAGTTCTATACTACAAATTTTCTAATAAAAATTAGGTTAGACCGCGTTAATTTTTACTGTTGTTTTAATCTTGTAAACGATTAGACCAGACTAATTTACCTACGGCCTCTATTTCACATTAATATTATAAGGGTATTCTAGGTATTTCCTTTACTTATATTCTACTCTTTAATTTCACACCTCGTGATATTAAAGGTGATAACGAAACATTTTCTAGCATTTATCATTGTTTTTTCGTAAATCTCGTATTTTTTTTCTAAAAATAATCGGTTTTTGTTCTATTATTTTGCATTTTGCAGCCGCCGAACTAGTAATTTTCAAGATATTTCATGATATTTTAAAATAACTATCGAAAATCAAATAGAACAGGTATAATTAATATGTAAGTAATAAAAAATGAATCAAGTCAGTTGCTCAAGCTTTTACAGTTTCGGACTTAATATTGAATATTCAGTAATGCATCTCAATGGAATATTAAATCATCACAAAGTAAACCCAATTGACGAAAATTCAAGAAATCACGTTGTCTATGAATAAAATGTTATATACAAGGTTTTCTTCAATTGTTTTTGGCTACTGGGAGTTAATCGTATCTTTTTATTAATTTTGGAAATCCTGTACATCGAAAACGACGCGATTTCGGACAATTTTTTTTTTAATTCATTTTTTGGGTATTTTGGCTCCAGTGAAAAAAATTTATAAAAGAAACCCCTTGCGCGAAGAGAATCAGTCAAGTTTTTTACGAATATAGTTTTGCGTAACTAAAAATGTCACACGTTACCTATTTTGGAAACCCTGCATATATTTTTAAATGGGATGTACTTTTCTTTATACTGACGCCCAACATATTTTTTCGCCACACTGTAGATGAGTGGTGACGTCATCGATTTTTTTTAAATGGGATTGTATACATTTTTTTGCACGTTTTGATTTTTTTTATTCTCTTTCCAATCATATGATGTCTACATAATGAAATTTTTGATAAAAAATGAGATTTTAGTTTACGGTTCTCGCTTTCTAAATCATATTAAATAGAAAAACTATTTTGCATACTGCTATCCGTCACATATCGGTTTGTTTGTAATTGTTGTCATCCCATTTAAAAGAAATATCGATGTCACCACTCAGCTACAGTGACGAAAAAAAATTTTGTGCGTCAATATATAAAAACAAAATCCCATCATTTAAAAATATATACAGGGTGTCTCATGATTAGTGTCGAATAATTTACCACAAAACAAAATCCCATCATTTAAAAATATATACAGGGTGTCTCATGATTAGTGTCGAATAATTTACTTCTTGATTCTATTACCAAAAATAAGAATATTTTTTCATATAAACATTGGTTGAGAAATGTTTCTTAAGGCAGCTACGCCCCCCTAAATGGGGACTCAAAAAAAAAATTTTTTTATACTTATTTCCGAAATGGGTCGAAGTAAAATCATGAATTTTGACTCCAAGAACGCTCATTAAAAGTTGAAATAGATCATAAAATTTTTCAAAAATTTTGATCAAGGGCGTCTCAACTGGGGGGGGGGTCGTCGGCTAATATTTGCCCCAATTTTTTTGCTTGTCGAAATTTTCAAATTCAGCAAACATATGATAGACCTTCATTTCATCTACAAAAAAGGTACTCTTTATTTCTTTCGATAAAATGCTTTATTTCCAAGAAAAACGGATTTTAGAGCTTCGATAAGCACACTTTGGAAAGTGTTACAACATATTTTAACTGATTTTTCTCGAAAACGGATTACTTTTTCGATATAAAACAACATTACCATTTTTAATAGAAAACTCAGATCTTTCTTTTACTGTTTAAATTTGAAAATGGTAACATTTTTAACAGTAAATTGTACCCGAGCTGGGGCAAATTTTTGCCGACGACCCCCTCAATTAAGACGCCTCTGACTAAAGTTTTTGAAAAATTTTTTCGACTATTTCGACTTTTAATAAGCGCTCACGATGTCAAAATTGATCATTTTCCTTCAACCCATTTCGGAAATATTTAAAACAAATTAATTTGTCGAGGCCACATTTAGGAGGGCTAGCTCCCTAAGAAAGCATTTCTCGACCCATGTTCATACGAAAAAATATTCTTATTATGCCAGAAATAAGTAACTTTCAGGAAATAAATGTTCCACAGCTGCGAAAGCCCGTAAAGTTCTTTGGAAAATAAAAAAAAAATAAAGTAAAGTATAAATTAGTGGATTATTAGCACATAAAACAGCTATTACTGTTTGTTTTTGCTTGTTTAACGGCAATTATTGGTGCATTACATCATAGTAAAAAAACTAACAGGTACGTATCACAAATATGTCATTTTTTATGTACAACCGTGCAAATTGTACTAAAAAAACTTAAAAAGACAACATAGTTCTTTTGTTCTGGTAATATTTTAATGTTTTCAATATTTTCCTAAGCCTCTTTTAGACAATTACTGTTCTCGGCTTTCAAATAGGTACTGATCGAGCAATTTCTTTTAATTCAAGCACAAACAAGCTAGTCCAAGTTCTCGAAATCGTTCCTCCCTACACGCCGGACTACTTCCCCGGCTGCTGCGACACGTGCATCCCGTGAGGACGTCGCGGCGCGTCGCTCTCGCCGCCCGTGACTGCAGCGCAACAAAAACAACGGCCGGGCAGGCGAAGAAAGACACGCGCGCGCCTCACGCATGTCGTTATCATTTTAAATTTACAACCACGTGTGCCGTGACATTTACGGCGAACGACGGCTGCGTCTCCGTCTCAATCCGCGTCACGCCGTCGGTGCATCCAGAGCGCAGAGCGTATGAAATGCATAGAGTCCACTTCCGGGCGATGACCGAGCGAGAGCGCGAGGCCTTGGACACACCGGGAGTCCATCGGCCCCAACGGAAGACAATGTACTGTGTGCGAGCGGCGTTCGTACGCCCGCCCGCCGGTTCGAGCGAGGAGAGAAAAAAAACAGGCAGAACCCATCCTAGTTCGAGGTCGGACGAAGAAATTCGCTTGGCCGCTCCAGTTAGTAACCCTACAAAAAAATTGGAAGATACACACCGCGTCTCGTCCGTTTTATTTACATCCGAAAGTAAATGAGTTTTCGGGGTCGCACGGCTCACTAGATTGCGTCGGACGATTCCGTTTTTTCAGTTCAGTAAAGGTACCCGATGTTTAGAAAGTTCACGTCTATGGAATTTGGGGTCATTGAAAAATCTCTAGCGCACAGCCGTGCTCTACATAATTATGCACACAAAGCGAGAGAGCAGCAACATTCTATTGTTCTCCTTAAACAAGACAGGGATTTTTAAAAAAATATCTCACATGTTTCTTACCTCGCTAGGGCCATATTATCTATTATACACCAGTGTAATCCGAATCAAGGATAATCCCAATGGAAAAATCACTTTCCTCACTCCACCTACTCTACAACACAAGAATACACGTTTACGGACATGCCGGGGCCGTTTGTGTCACCGACTGATCCAAAAGTAATTCAACAACGACCAAATTCAGTGCTGATGTCACCCTCAACAGCGCAGACAAACCGCGTCCAACCCTCACGTCAGACTACAACAAACTGAGGCAAAACAGTGTCATTATTCGGAATCCCCTCTCCCCAGGTTGAAATGTGAAAAAAAGGCCGTCCTCGGGCGAGCTCGGGTCCGATCGGCGCTGCTCTCGCCAATCGCTATCGGAGCCTGTTGGATGTTCGATTAGCAGATGGAATTCTATTAGGAATTAGCAAAGTGCGTTTTCGTATGCAAATCGGACGAGAGGCCACCCTATATCGCGGGCGGCGTCGTTATGCGAATCGCTTGTCAATTTCTCGTTGAGGCGCTCCGCTGAAAAAAGTTCTTTTTCTGGGGAAAATGATTTGATGGTCCGGGAGACGCACGCGCGCAGCGACAACCTTAACATCGGGGACGTAGTCAGGGCCGGATTAGAAATTCCACGTTCGCGAATTGCATGAAAATATAATGAAGGGCGGGGTTTGTCCATTCCCAACTTTACAGAATTTCAATTTAACCGGAAGGTTAGTATAAAGTCACTATTTCAGATAATAAATAGTATATTAAACAACAAGTTTAGAAAAACAAAGTTTTAGTAAACGAATATAGTTTTTGAGTACGAGCGAGTGACTATGAGTTTAGGAAAACTGCTTTTCTTGCGAGATTTCTTTATATGTACTATTTTTTCGCATTTTGTGTTGTAGGTAATTATAAGCAAATAGATGGTGATAGATATAAGAGCATTACAAAGTTAGAAAGGGCTCCGCACTCAATTTATGGAAATTAGTCTTTCGGTGAAATTTCCTGAAAAATTGATAACTTGTCCCTTTTTATCACTGATCAAAAGTCTTATAAGTCATATGAAAGCTGGTTTCAAGACCTATAAAATGGTGCCTGGTAGAAGTTTGTACAATTAAAATCAAGCGAGATATGTCAATTTATCTCTTATTTTTATAAAATTTTTATTACTTTCGGTATTATTTTGTCTAATAAATTTATTTTTGAGAATGTGAAAGTTAAAATAAGTTTCTAGGTGATTGGATATTATTATTTATTTATTTAAACAACAGTTAATCATATACATCTTATAAATTTTCAGTTTCATTTAGCATATTTTCAATATTATTATTAATTTCGACATCATCATTTTCATCAATGTCCTCTTCAAAAAAATCAGGCTCATAAGCATTCTCACAATTTATTCCCATACATTCTTTAATACATTTACAGGCTATTTTTTCAAGTAAATTTTCAGGTGCAGGAGATTTATTATTAAAAATGGGAACTAGCCCATTTATGGAATTTTTCCAACCCCAATCAAGGGGATTTAAAGTACAACCATTCCACTGTTGCATCTGAAAATATACTCTGAACCCATGATGTTTGAGAGCATCAGTTGTTGAAGGCAATCGAGATAAGGTAAATTTTGCACTTGTTGAATACTTTTGAAATAATTTATATCGACAAGTTTTTAGGCTGTCAATTTTTTAACTATACATTATAGTTACAATGCATTCAGATGCAGCAGTGATATCCTCAACACTAGCATTTTCAAGTAAAAATACATCGAGGTAATTTTTTAATTTTGAAAAATTCTTATTTACAAAATTGAAAAATTTTTTTGTAATTGTAATTTTTTAATTAAAAGTACAAAAATAATTAAAAGAATTCGAAATTTTACAAGATAAATATGATTAATTGTTGTTTAAATAAATAAATAATAATATTCAATCACCTAGAAACTTATTTTAACTTTCACATTCACAAAAATAAATTTATTAGACAAAATAATACCGAAAGTAATAAAAATTTTATAAAAAGAAAAAAGTATCGTTGGTTAAATTGACATATCTCGGTTGATTTTAATTGTACAAACTTCTACCGGGCACCATTTTAAAGGTCTTGAAACCAGCTTTCCTTTGAATATGGCATTACATATCCCTAAATTAACTCAGAAAAAAGTTATAAGACGAAAATCGTCAAAAAAGGGCAAAAATTGGCCAAAAATCCAAAAAGTAGCCAACTTTGATCCAATGTATCTCGGTTTCTATTAGTCATAGGTATTTTATAAACGTTCATTTTAAATGACAAAACATTAACTTTTTTTCTGTGAAGTAATGCCTATACCTAACTCCTCTCAGAAAAAAGTTGTGGACCAAAAACCAAAAAGATAAAAAAAACATTTTTTTGTTTATTTTTACTCATTTTTTCGGCATATTTTTGTTAAAAATAAATTTGTTTTGACTTCAAAATGTCTCATTTCCATTGGAAATTTAATTTGCTACAACGTCTGTTGACAACTATAGTGAATAAATGCATAGTTTTCGAGTAAAACTCAAAAAACTGAAAATACCACCCTTTTATGTACTTCGTTCTCAAAAACGAAAAAAGCACTCCGCGGTTTTATCATTTTTTAGGATCAATTGAACATATCAAACAATAATATTTCTGTTACGTTGTAGTTCCTTTGTACCCTCTTTTTTTTGACATAATCAATAGCCTAAAGAACAAGTAGAATCGAATAAATTTCGCGTTGTTAACTTTTTAAATACACAGTTTTCTGTCAAACTATTGTATATTAACAGTGACAGTTCTATAATATAGTAAAGTGACATTATAATGTGGTAAAGTACTACTTTAGTAAACTACTTTGAATTTAGTAATACAGCATATTATCAGTCTAACCGTGTGGGCTATTCTCCTCTTTGCCGAAAATATAGTACAAAAAATTGGAAGAGCTCAATTTTCAAAATAAAAATTATGGCTATGGAATTCTACATAAAGAAATGTATACGAAATGAACATAAAAAACTTTAAAAAATTTTGTGTTGGTATGTTTATTGTCTAATTAAACATATTTTACACCATTATCTTTAATTTCTTAAATCTATGATCGACACCAAAGCCTGCTTTGCTAGTGAAACAAAAACACTAAACATCATACTATTTCTGAATAATAAAAATATTGAAATTATTGTAAAAATCCTACCTCTGTCATAGAAAATATAATAAATTTGTTAAGAATGTCAAACTTGTGTATGTTTATGTCTATTAGCTAAAAAAATAAAAGCATCTACCTATTCCAATTAAATCTATTTTATATGACATTAAACACCAGTTATTTTGTGAAATTTTAATAAAGCATCGTTACATTTTTTTGCATTTATATTCATCATTCAGTTGCTGGCATTAAATAACGCACTAGAAATTTGCGAATGCGGTTTCAATAGCCTACCTTTCATTTTATATAATTCCCACAGTTTCGTATCACGGCCATCTAAGCAGAAGTGAATAATAATTTGATATTGCTTACACCATTTTAATGCAAATGATGTACATACATAGCGGACCAATTTCTGTTCTTTTGGATGGTTTCTCCTATTTCCCGAAGAGATTGAAAAAATGTAGTTAAGATATCAGTACCAAAAAATTTGAATATTTAATATATCTTATAGGAAATGCTACGAAGCATACCCTTACAATCGAATTATGGGTTGAAAAATGCAAATGATAAGACGAAAAAAATATGGGCGTTTACCTGAATCATTAATTAATAATTGAGAGAAAGAAAAAAAGTAGGTGGCCGCACATTTCACAGAGAAATAAATTATCAAACATAAAAAGTTCTGACTTTCGTTCGCCAAATAATAAACGCGAAGTAGTAACGACAACAGCGCAATAGAGTATGATTGAGAATAAGGTGGCGGAAAATTTAAATAAACGTTTCGATACACAAATAAGTCATTAGAAATGGCAAATTTTCAAATGTAGTATGTTTTTTGAAATCTTTTTTTTTTATAAAGTACGATATACTTTCAATATAATAAGTATAAATATAAAATACAGCAGCAATAATCAATGAGATATTTTTATACTTTGCATCACAGCGCATATAACAATCTTATATATTTTGGCAAATTGTGATATTTTTAATATCATTTTTAATTTTAAAATTAACATTTCAATAATTTCAGTATAATTTCTTTAGAATATTTTTGGCTGCAATAACATCGTATCACAGTATAATACTACATAGATATATCAGATTGTATTCTACTTTTAGAAATGCAATCGTTTTAAACCCTTGTCTTATAAGGAACATTTGTATTCACAAATAATTCGACACACAGCAGTGTCACCTGCGAAATCCGGAGAACTCAGAACTACAGGTACACACCAGCGCCATCTGCAAAATCTAAGCGGCAAAAAATATATTTTTTCGTTATTAAACTNTTATTGACAGATAATGTTCACCAAGTTTGGTTTCTTTAGCTTGATTTACGTGGAAGATAAAAAAGAAAAACAATTTTTTTTTGTAATTTTAGGAGGGGCGGAACTTTTCAGGGGAGGGTTTTTTAAAAAAATTTTATACCAAAGACCCCTATTAATTTTCATCGGAGAATCGCCCCTTGAATTTTTTCGGTGTTATTTAGATACACCCTGTATATAAAAGCATTATAAAGTTAGAAAGGGCTCCGCACTCAATTTATGGAAATTAGTCTTTCGGTGAAATTTCCTGAAAAATTGATAACTTGTCCCTTTTTTATCACTGATCAAAAGTCTTATAAGACATATGAAAGCTGGTTTCAAGACCTTTAAAATGGTGCCTGGTAGAAGTTTGTACAATTAAAATCAACCGAGACATGTCAATTTAACCAACGATACTCTTTCTTATTTTTATAAAATTTTTATTACTTTCGGTATTATTTTGTCTAATAAATTTATTTTTGTGAATGTGAAAGTTAAAATAAGTTTCTAGATGATTGAATATTATTATTTATTTATTTAAACAACAGTTAATCATATATATCTTATACATTTTCAGTTTCATTTAGGTAGCATATTTTCAATATTATTATTAATTTCGTCATCATTTTCATCAATGTCCTCTTCAGAAAAATCAGGCTCATAAGCATTCTCACAATTTATTCCCATACATTCTTTAATATATTTACAGGCTATTTTTTCAAGTAAATTTTCAGGTGCAGGAGATTTATTATTAAAAATGGGTACTAGTCCATTTTTGGAATTTTTTCAACC